CCACGGTCACACACCCAGGCTTCTGTGACCGACGTGCCACCACCAGCTAGCGACCAACCCTTCTCGGCACCCAGCAGCCAGCAATGAGCAATCAAACTCTTCCCTTTTTTTAGGAAAATCCTCCCGACCTGCATGCTGCTGCTGGGCGCGAGCCCCAGCAACGTGCCAGTAAAAGGACGCTCAGTTTGCAATGACAGAGCTGCCAGCACCCAGACGCCTCCTTAGTCCTGGGAGGTAAAAATTCCTTAATCCAAAGGGCTCCTCTGCAGCGAGATGCTGCCCCCCAATAATGACTGCCCTGTGCCCCGTTTAGCTGGATAAGCAGTCCTAAAAAAATTAAACAGAAGTTGGGAAATGGGATGAAGCCCAGGAGCAAAACCTGCTGGCTTGGGGACGGCAGGGCAGAGGCAGGTGGCGGAGTGGCAAAGCTTTGGAGGGCTTTTGAAGCACCCACACGGGCAACGTGCCCCCCGAAACTGCATCCACGAGGGACAGGGCTCTGTGGGGACGGGAGCGAGGAATAAGGCTGTGAGTTCAGCAAGATGGGAGCATCGCTCTGCACACCCAGCAGCCAAAACGGGGGGAAGCAGACCCCCGCAGCCACCCTGCCCCACAGCCAGACACCCACGGAGCCCCAGGGCAGCGGCACAAGCCCCGCCGTGGGCTCCCCCCGCTGCTTTCTGGGTCAGGGAGATGCCCCAGCCCCGCTGCCGCTGGAGCCGGCTGGATGCACGGTTGCTGTGGCAACGGGTTCCCAGAGACAAAATCCCAATTTTTTTTTTTTCCAGGAAAAAAAATAAAATAAAATGTACAGCAGCCCTCCATAGCTGGTATGCCACCGAAACACTCGCTCCTGGCCAAGGGGGCAGTGGGGGGCTGTGAGGGTGCCTTCAGCATGAAAATCAGGTGCCAAAGCAGCAGAGAGAGGAGATTTTGCAGCACTGAGGCCTCAGCGATGACCGGCAGATGTTCGCTGGAGAACAGAGGAGGTGGCAAACAGCGGCACGGAGGGAAGCACCCTTCACCACGCAGTGTTAGGGCGCCAGGGACATCATCCCGCCAGCTGCAGGAACGCGGGAGCATAGATCATAGCGGCGGGTCTCGGTGCATGCGACAGTGTCCAGGATCAAAGCCAAGTTCAATTAATGGCTCACAATCTTATTAGAGAAATTATTTCAGGATCTTGAGTAAAAGTCCGATATATCCACTCCATTCCATTAGTCAGGCTCATTTAGTAATTCAATCAATCTAAGCAAGGCAATTGAGCTCCTCTGGTATAATTTAACTCGGTTATTCTCTGGGTACTTAAGAATTTCTTAATATTTGCTCCATTATTTCACCATTACACCTATTCTCAGGTGCAAGGTTAGCACCAATGCGATGCTGTGGGTCCCACGGCAGGGTGGACCAGCCCCACTGCACCCCACTGTCATGCCCTACTCTTGGGGGACAGGCGATGGGGATGGGGAAGGAGAGCTCCATCGGCAAAGGCGGGGTGCCCTCACCTCCCCAGAAATGAAGCCGAGCCATGGTTTGGGCACAGGGATCGCCTCGGTGTGCAAAGAGCTCCCCATTATTTTATTTCATAGGAGGATGTGACCATCAAGGAACATCACTTTCAGCCTGACACACGCGGCAGGCAAGTGATGGGAGCTCTGCTCCCTGTGGGCAGAGGCAGCTTTGGGTGTTGGGAGGTTTAAGGGCTCCCCGTGGCTTTGCCACAGGAAGGAGGCACTTTGGGTGACCAAAGTAACAAGCATCCCGTGCCCCTTGGGGGTCCGTCCCGCTGCCACCCCGACCTCAATGCCCAGAGCAGCCCCTGAGCACCCTACAGCAGAGCCAAGAGCATAGCAGAGAAAATATAAAAGCAAAGAAAAATAAATAAATAAATTAAAAGGGCGAGAAATGTTAGGTATTTCAGGGAGATATCCTGCAGCGGTTAAATATGCCCAGCTCATCAGTGCCTTTGAAAGATCTCACCCCTCTAAAAAATTAGAATTGATTTTGTATTTAAAAAGGAATCTATTTAATTTGAAAGTAAGATAATTTGAAATTGTGACAGCTTGTATTAAGGCCCGAGTTTATGATAATCCATTAAAGTCACTGGGGCTGGGAGCGTCTGTCTGCTGAGCAGGTGAGGCGGCCAGCCAAGGCCCGGGCAGCAGGGGACACTTCTGGGGACACGAGGGGACACGGTGCCACCATCCCAGAGCAGCTCAGCATGGCTGCAAACTGGGCAGCCAAAAAAAGCTCTTTTGGCTCATCCAAACCCAGGGAGAACAGGACGTTTTGGCATCTTGAACCCACCAGCTCAGCTCCCCAGCATTCTCGTGCTTCAAGCCCATTTTGTGCACCAAACGCATTTCACAACTCCTCTTTCCTGGTACGTTGATGAGAAGGGAAAAGAGGCAGAGATGCTGCCTTTTGTGCATTTTTAATTGCATTGCAAATGTCCTCCGAGCCCGCCTGGCCGCGGGAAGCCAGGCTGCTCGGAAATACCCCGCTCGCCGTTTATAACCTGAGAGGGAAGGGACCAAAGAAGTCCGCAGCCCGCCTGAGTGCGCAGCCAGCTAATGACATATCAAATGCGGATTGATGCCGCCGAGCCAACGGGCCAGGAAGAAGGGGTTGCGAAGGTTGGCAGAAAGGGAATATTGAGCTGAAAATTAGCATTTCTTAATGGCCACCGAGCGGTGAGAGGCAGCCTTCCTTCAGGAAAGCCATAACTAATGCAACGAGCACCAAGTGAGATGAAAGGCAGCGATTGAGGCTCCCCCGATTTAAATAAGGACGAAGCAGGGCGCTGCTCCATCCCCACCTCCCTGTGCGTGCCAGCGAGCACGGGAGGTGCTGTGCACGTGTCTGAGATGCTGCCATGCGAACACGGGGCACCAAACCCCTGAGCAGCTGCAGTCCCTGCCCAGTGCCCCCCCATCAATAAACAGGGGCAATAAAACCCCACAAACAACCTGCTATCCCTCTGCTTTGGGAGGAACTCGGAGCGGGGACCAGCAAGCTCATGGAGCTCACAGACTCCCCTAAGCAACTTTTCCAAACCCCTGGGAAGATGCCAAGGAGGACAGGGAGCTGCCAGGGCACCCAAGGGGGTTGTAAAGAAATTGGGGCAAGCTCACAGAGGAACATGGTTATGCCCATGTTTGCCCTCGGACAAATCCATGTTAGCTTTGGTGCAAAGTGAATGAGAGTGCTCAGCACCAGCCGGGGATGTTCCTCTGCCCCAGGGGCTTCTTGGGCTGGGGGCTCTCCAGGTGCAGAGGACACAGCCCCCGAGGTAGCAAGGCTGGGTCTCGTGAGACCTCTGTGCACTGGAGGGCTTCCCCCAGGCCAGCACAGCACCCAGGATGATGACAACAGTGATGATGATAATAAAGGTAACAGCAATAACAACAACAACAATAATAATATCAACAATAATAATAATAATAACAATAATGACACTGTGCAAGGTGGCCATGCCAAGCCGGCGCATCCCCTGCTGGGAGGGACGGAGACGTAGCAAGGAGTCACCCAGGCAAAGCCACGGGGACAGTGAGCCCCCGGGGTGCCCATCCTGCTGCTCCAGCACCCCCGCACCCTGCCACAGCCCCAGGCACCCGCAGGCTCGCAGGGGACCGATATCACAGCAGGGCCCACCGCGACGCGCCCTGGGACCCCTCCCCATGCAGCACTACGCATCCCAGCCCCAGATCCGAAGGGCAGGAGCATCCCACGCCCCAGAGCCATGGGGGTCTGGCTCCTCGGGAGTGGGTCCGAGGAGGGGACGAGAACCCGTGCTGCTTTTGGGGCGTCAACGCCACGCGTGCGCGGCCCCGCAGCATCCGCTGCGCTGCGGCCCCGTTGCCAGAGCAACGCTCCCTGGCCTCCGCCGCAGCATCACACGGAGGGGCTGTGCCACGGGTGGGGACATCGCATCCCACAGCCCCCTCCAGCCATCCCCCATTCCCCGGGCACAGAACCAGGGGTGTCCCCACAACCTCCCCCCCATGGCATCTCCATCCCTGCGCCCTCTTCTGCCGTTCCCATGGGAGCAGGGGGATGCCCATGCAGCAGCCAGCGCTGCTCCGAGCCAGGACCGCGGGTTTTCTGCAGGAGGTCTGGGGGACGGGAGGGTGACAAAGCACTGGGGACACAACCCAGAGAGGGGCCGCCGCAGGAGGTGGGCATCAGCATGCAAAGCCACGCGCCAGCACATTATTGTGGGGACAGCACGCAGGCAAGGGGGGCATACTGAACACGTCACGGGGCACCCAAAGGTGCTGGCAGGGTGCACAGGAGGCACGCACAGACACGGCGGGGGTGCAGCTGTGGAGCCCACCCAGGGCTTACATGGGGGGTTGGTAGGAAATTGGTATTCAGCACAAATATCACTGAAAATTAAAAATTGCAGTGGCTGCTACAGCACACGGCTGGCGCCAAGGGGAGCGGGTGCCCGCGTCCGGGTGGCGGAGGCCTTGCTGTGATCCCAGCACAAACAAAGCAGCGAGCGGTCGGCTTTTGGATGGAAATAAATAAATAAATAAAAATACATATGGCTATAAAACAATACAACACACACAGCAGAATGAGGCCACCAGATCTGAGGAAACGGAGCCCAGGCAGCGCGGGGAGGTACCTGGCCATGGGGGGGGGAAGGGGTGTGCAGCCTGGCCCACGTGAGCAGGCCGCGGCGTGGGGACCCGGGGGGGCTGTGGCAGGGTCCCTGCGGGTGCAGCGTGGGGACCGCCGGGGACATTTTCCCACCGGCCTCCGCTCGGGGGGGCTCCGGCGGCCTCCCCCCGGCCTCAGGCTGCGGGCCCCCGGCCGGGGCGAGCCCCAGGATGGCGGCCCCCGGGATGCCGCCCCGGGAGGAGCGCAGGGAGCCCCCCAAACCCCCTCCCCGGCCCCGGCCTCCGGGAGCGCACGCTGCGGCGGGGCGGCCGGGGCAGGGATGCCGCAGGGAGGAGCCCCCCGGGCGGGGATGCTGGGGATGTTCGGCTCACCCAGCACGAAGTAGGGCAGCTCGGTGTTCTCCAGGTCGTCCACCACCACCATCTCGCCGGGGAAGTCGTTGCGCACGGAGAAGAGCAGCTTGGGCTCGGCGGCCGACGGGCCGTGCATGATGCTCAGGTCGTTCTCCCGCAGGAAGGGCAGCGCCGACACCGTGATGCTCTTCAGCTTGCACTCCAGCTCCTTGGCCGCCGCCTCCGCCGCCGCCTCGGCGGGGCCGCTGCCCGCCGCCAGGCAGCACCCGGCCAGCAGGGCGCACAGCCCGGCCCAAGCCATCCCGCAGCCCCGCCGCTCCGAGCCCCGGCCGGGCGGCGGCAGCGGCGAGGGGCGGGGACGCGGGGCACGGCGCCTCCCCGTGCGGCACGGCACGGCACTGCTAGGCTCGGCACGGCCTGGCACGGCTTGGCAGGGCACTGCTAGGCTCGGCACGGCTAGGCTTGGCACGGCACTGCTAGGCTCGGCACGGCCTGGCACGGCTTGGCACGGCTCGGCAGGGCACTGCTAGGCTCGGCAGGGCACTGCTAGGCTCGGCATGGCTCGGCACGGCTTGGCACGGCTTGGCACGGCACTGCTAGGCTCGCAATGGCTCGGCACGGCACTGCTAGGCTCGGCACGGCTCGGAACGGCTTGGCACGGCTTGGCACGGCACTGCTAGGCTCGGCACGGTTCGGCATGGCACTGCTAGGCTCGGCACGGCACTGCTAGGCTCGGCACGGCCTGGCACGGCTTGGCACGGCACTGCTAGGCTCGGCATGGCTCGGCACGGCTTGGCACGGCACTGCTAGGCTCGGCACGGCCTGGCACGGCTTGGCACGGCACGGCACTGCTAGGCTCGGCACGGCACTGCTAGGCTCGGCACGGCTCGGAACGGCTTGGCACGGCACTGCTAGGCTCGGCACGGCTTGCCACGGCTTGGCACGGCACTGCTAGGCTCGGCACGGCTCGGCACGTCTCGGCACGGCTTGGCACGGCACTGCTAGGCTCGGCACGGCTCGGCACGGCTCGGCACGGCACTGCTAGGCTCGCAATGGCTCGGCACGGCCTGGCACGGCTTGGCACAGCACTGCTAGGCTCGACACGGCTCGGCACGGCACTGCTAGGCTCGGCACGGCACTGCTAGGCTCGGCACGGCTCGGCACGGCTTGGCACGGCTTGGCACGGCACTGCTAGGCTCGCAATGGCTCGGCACGGCACTGCTAGGCTCGGCACGGCTCGGAACGGCTTGGCACGGCACTGCTAGGCTCGGCACGGCACTGCTAGGCTCGGCACGGCTTGGCACGGCACTGCTAGGATCGCAATGGCTCGGCACGGCACTGCTAGGCTCGGCACGGCTCGGCACGGCTTGGCACGGCTTGGCACGGCTTGGCAAGGCACTGCTAGGCTCGGCTTGGCACGGCTTGGCACGGCACTGCTAGGCTCGGCACGGCTCGGCACGGCTTGGTACGGCTTGGCACGGCACTGCTAGGTTTGGCACGGCTCGGCACGGCACTGCTAGGCTCGGCACGGCTCGGCACGGCTTGGCACGGCTTGGCACGGCACTGCTAGGCTCGGCACGGCTCGGCACGGCTTGGCACGGCTTGGCACGGCACTGCTAGGCTCGGCACGGCACTGCTAGGCTCGGCACGGCTTGCCACGGCTTGCCACGGCTTGCCACGGCACTGCTAGGCTCGCAATGGCTCGGCACGGTACTGCTAGGCTCGGCACGGCTCGGCACGGCTTGGCACGGCTTGGCACGGCTTGGCACGGCACTGCTAGGCTCGGCACGGCTCGGCACGGCACTGCTAGGCTCGGCACGGCTTGGCACGGCTTGGCACGGCTTGGCACGGCTTGGCACGGCACTGCTAGGCTCTCAATGGCCCGGCACGGCACTGCTAGGCTCGGCACGGCTCGGCACGGCTTGGCACGGCACTGCTAGGTTCGGCACGGCTTGGCTCGGCTTGGCACGGCTCGGCACGGCACTGCTAGGCTCGGCACGGCTCGGCACGGCACTGCTAGGCTCGGCACGGCTTGGTACGGCACTGCTAGGCTCGGCACGGCACTGCTAGGCTCGGCACGGCTCGGCACGGCACTGCTAGGCTCGGCACGGCTCGGCACGGCTTGGCACGGCACTGCTAGGCTCGGCACGGCACTGCTAGGCTCGGCACGGCTTGGCACGGCACTGCTAGGCTCGCAATGGCTCGGCACGGCACTGCTAGGCTCGGCACGGCTCGGAACGGCTTGGCACGGCTTGGCACAGCACTGCTAGGCTCGGCACGGATCGGCACGGCACTGCTAGGCTTGGCACGGCTCGGCACGGCTTGGCACGGCTTGGCACAGCACTGCTAGGCTCGGCACGGCACTGCTAGGCTCGGCACGGCTTGGCACGGCACTGCTAGGCTCGGCACGGCTCGGCACGGCTTGGCACGGCACTGCTAGGCTCGGCACGGCACTGCTAGGCTCGGCACGGCTTGGCACGGCTTGGCACGGCTTGGCACGGCACTGCTAGGCTCGCAATGGCTCGGCACGGCACTGCTAGGCTCGGCACGGCTCGGCACGGCTCGGCACGGCTTGGTACGGCACTGCTAGGCTCGGCACGGCTCGGCACGGCACTGCTAGGCTTGGCACGGCTCGGCACGGCTTGGCACGGCTTGGCACGGCTTGGCACGGCACTGCTAGGCCCGGACGGCTCGGCACGGCTTGGCACGGCATGGCACGGCTTGGCACGGCACTGCTAGGCTCGGCACGGCTCGGCACGGCTCGGTACGGCTTGGCACGGCACTGCTAGGCTCGGCACGGCTTGGCACGGCTTGGCACGGCACTGCTAGGCTCGGCACGGCTCGGCACGGCACTGCTAGGCTCGGCATGGCTCGGCAAGGCTCGGCACGGCACTGCTAGGCTCGGCACGGCTTGCCACGGCTCGGCACGGCACTGCTAGGCTCGGCACGGCACTGCTAGGCTCGGCACGGTTCGGCACGGATCGGCACGGCTCGACACGGCACGGATCGGCACGGCTCGGCACGGTTCGGCACGGCTCGGCACGGCACGGCTCGGCACGGCTCGGCACGGTTCGGCACGGTTCGGCACGGCTCGGCACTGCTCGGCTCGGCACGGTTCGGCTCGGCACGGCTCGGCACGGTTCGGCACGGCTCGGCACGGCTCGGCTCGGCACGGTTCGGCACGGATCGGCACGGTTCGGCACGGCTCGGCACGGTTCGGCTCGGCACGGCTCGGCACGGTTCGGCACGGCTCGGCACGGCTCGGCACGGCACGGCTCGGCACGGTTCGGCACGGCTCGGCACGGCTCGGCTCGGCACGGTTCGGCACGGATCGGCACGGTTCGGCACGGCTCGGCACGGTTCGGCTCGGCACGGCTCGGCACGGCTCGGCACGGTTCGGCACGGCTCGGCACGGCTCGGCACGGCACGGCTCGGCACGGTTCGGCACGGCTCGGCTCGGCACGGCTCGGCACGGTTCGGCACGGTTCGGCACGGCTCGGCACGGTTCGGCACGGCTCGGCACGGTTCGGCACGGCTCGGCCCGGTTCGGCTCGGCACGGCTCGGCACGGCTCGGCACGGTTCGGCACGGCTCGGCACGGTTCGGCACGGCTCGGCACGGCTCGGCACGGTTCGGCACGGCTCGGCTCGGCACGGTTCGGCACGGTTCGGCACGGCTCGGCTCGGCACGGTTCGGCACGGTTCGGCACGGCTCGGCACGGTTCGGCACGGTTCGGCACGGTTCGGCACGGCTCGGCTCGGCACGGCTCGGCACGGTTCGGCACGGCTCGGCACGGTTCGGCACGGTTCGGCACGGTTCGGCACGGCTCGGCACGGCTCGGCTCGGCACGGCTCGGCACGGTTCGGCACGGCTCGGCACGGCTCGGCTCGGCACGGCTCGGCACGGCTCGGCACGGTTCGGCACGGCTCGGCACGGTTCGGCACGGCTCGGCACGGCTCGGCACGGTTCGGCACGGCTCGGCTCGGCACGGTTCGGCACGGTTCGGCACGGCTCGGCTCGGCACGGTTCGGCACGGTTCGGCACGGCTCGGCACGGTTCGGCACGGTTCGGCACGGTTCGGCACGGCTCGGCTCGGCACGGCTCGGCACGGTTCGGCACGGCTCGGCACGGTTCGGCACGGTTCGGCACGGTTCGGCACGGCTCGGCACGGCTCGGCTCGGCACGGCTCGGCACGGTTCGGCACGGCTCGGCACGGCTCGGCTCGGCACGGTTCGGCACGGCTCGGCACGGTTCGGCACGGCTCGGCACGGCACGGCTCGGCACGGTTCGGCACGGCTCGGCACGGATCGGCACGGCTCGGCTCGGCACGGTTCGGCACGGTTCGGCACGGCTCGGCACGGCTCGGCCCGGTTCGGCTCGGCACGGCTCGGCACGGCTCGGCACGGTTCGGCACGGCTCGGCTCGGCACGGCTCGGCACGGTTCGGCACGGCTCGGCACGGATCGGCACGGTTCGGCACGGATCGGCACGGTTCGGCACGGCTCGGCTCGGCACGGTTCGGCACGGTTCGGCACGGCTCGGCTCGGCACGGTTCGGCACGGCTCGGCACGGTTCGGCACGGTTCGGCACGGCTCGGCACGGCTCGGCTCGGCACGGCTCGGCACGGCTCGGCTCGGCACGGTTCGGCACGGTTCGGCTCGGCACGGCTCGGCTCGGTTCGGCACGGTTCGGCTCGGCACGGCTCGGCTCGGCACGGCTTGGCACGGCACTGCTAGGCTCGGCACGGCTCGGCACGGCTCGGCACGGCACTGCTAGGCTCGGCACGGCTCGGCACAGCATTGCTAGGCTCGGCATGGCTCGGCACGGCACTGCTGGGGGTGTAAGGGAAGGGTGGAGGAAATGTAAAGGGAAATAAGAGGAGGAAGAAGGGGAGTGTGAAGGAAATATAGCGAGGTGGGGGAATAGAATATAAGGAAAAAAGATGGGGAGAATATGGGAAAATACATTTTATGCTTTTTAAATGTAATATAAATAAAAGTGATGTGGATTTTATAATATTTTATATTATTTAATATAATAAATGGGGAGAAAATGGAAAAAAATAGGATAATATAGGGGAAAATATGAGGAAAACATAAGGAAAAATATAAAGAAATAATAAGGAAAAATACAAAGACAATATAAAGGCTATATAATGGAAGATAAGGGGAAAAAACAGTAAAAATACAGTAAAAACCCACAGCAGTGTTTTGTAAGATGAGGCCTGGCCTTCTTTTTGGGGGCAGAAGCCCCCTGGCAGGCTGACCACGGCTCTCTGCTCAGTGGGGCCCAGAAACTGACCCCAAAGCCCTGCCCCAACCGGCGGGAAGCCGAGGGGACCCCCAGGGTCCCCGCTTGGGGGGCCGGCTGCTGCCCAGGAGCATCCCCCTGCCGTGGGAGGAAAATAACGCGTGGCAGGGGGCACGGGCAGAGGGACCCAAAAGACACAAGTGGAGGAATTGGCCGTGGGAAAGGACCCGAGCAGAAGAACTGGCCCTGGGAAATGACACGAGTGGAGGGATAGACCATGGGAAAGGGCACAAGCAGAGAAAATGACCGTGGGAAATGGCACGAGTGGAGGAACTGCCCGTGGGAAACGACGAGAGGGAGCCCCCCACGCCGGGCCCGCTCCCCCCAAACCCCACCCACCCCGTCCCCAAACACAGCTCTGCAATACCCGGCCGTGGGACGCAGGAGGAGCGCGGGGCTGCGTGGGGGCCCTTTCCCGGGGGAAACTCTTTTCGCGGGGGGATCCCCCCGCCTTTTGGGGGACCCCCTCCCCTTTCAGGGGACACGCAGCCAGCGGGCTGGAGGCGAGGGGGCTGCCGCCTGCTGGGGCTCCCCCCGGGCACTGCCGGCTCCGCGCTCTCCCTGCTGCCGCCGCCGCCGCCCCGCGCCCCCCACGCGTGTCCGCGCCCCCCGCGCCCCCACGAGGCGAGCGGCCGCGGGAGCACCAATGGGAGGGCGCGGGGAGGCAGGCGGCGCCGCTGATTGGCTGCGGCCCGTGCATATATCAGGGGGCGGCCGAGGGCGAGCGTGGAGGCGGCGGCGGCGGCCGCGGAGCGCGGCGGGACCCGGGTGGCCGCTGCCCGCCGGGGGGCTCCGCGCCATGGGGCGGCGGGGCCGGGCCCGGGGGGGCTGAGACGGAGCAGGAGGGGACGGGGCAGGACGGGACGGAGAACCCCCGGAGCCTGGGGTAAGCCCTCGGGAGCGCGGAGCATCCCCGGGGGGCGGCCGGAGCTCGGGAGGGGGATGATGTCGCGATTATCGGGATGCTGAGGCAGGGCGGTAGGGTGCCCCGCGCTGCCTGTGTCCCCCCCTGCTCCCCGCGGGCAGCCCGCTAGGGATGCGCTGCCGCCGCTCGGTGACCTTGTCCCGGGGGGGGGACGAGCCCCTGTGGCCGGGTTTGTCCCGGGACGGAGCGCGGAGCTGCCCCCGGGGGGGCTGGGGGGCAGCGGGGGGCTGCGAGCTGCGCCGTGGCCAGGAGAGCCCCGGGACGGCAGCAGCAGGGGAAGGTGCCCTCTAAAATGCCCAAACGCGCCCCCACCCCGCCGGGCACGCATCGATCAACAGCTGGACCCTGGGAGCTGCTGGGGGATAAGGAGGGGAGGGGATAAGGGGGGAGGGGATAAGGGGGGGTCCCGGCCCCGGTGCCGCCGCACGGTTCCCGGGGCGAGAGGGGGAGGATGCGGGATGCCCGTGTGGGGCCGGGAACGGGGGCTTGGGGAGCGGTGGCTCGGCTCTTCCCCTGCTCCCCCCGGTCTTTAATTTCGGGAGGAACCCCAACTCTGCGAGCTCTGCCTCCCTTTTCGGGGGAGCCCCGCGCTATGTCCCCTTCTCCCCCTGAGCGCTGCGTTGGCACGGGCTGGAGGTGCTGGGGGTCCTGGGGTGCCCCCAAACCCCCCTCGGTGGTCCCGGGGCCGGGCCGGGCGCTGCGGGACCTGCCGGCAGGTGTCAGTGTCCCCCCTCCGTCTGCAGCCGGGAGGGTCGGTGCCGAGGACCCCCCTGCGCTCTCCCCAGGATAGGTTTTGGGGGGGGTTCAGGGGCGCTTTTGCTCCCCAGGACCAGCGGGCTGAGCCCGGCATGAGGGCAGGGCTGGGGAGATTTGGGGGGGCCCGCTGAGACCCCACATCTCATCCCAGCACCAGCCCCGTGTTCCCCAGGCTGCCCGTGCCCGGCTGCTGTCATGCCTCGCTGCTTGTCGTGACACCCGGTGCCACGCTGGTGACACTAAGCAGGGAGAGGGGTGGCTGGGAGCTTCCTCGCCTCACACCGGTGCCCACCCTGACAGCGGGGAGGGGGACGCGGGGATGCCTGGGGCTGGGAGCTCGGCCTGAGGCTGGAGGAGCCACGGCTGCGCTGGAGGGAGCCGTGCTCCGCATCGCTCTGCTCAGAGGGCTCCTGCCTGCGGGTGTGAAAGTCTCCAGCGAGCGAAGCCAGAGGGCACAGCACATGGCACTGGTGTGGTGCAGGGCGCCCAGCTGCCACCTCCCTCCACCGCAGCCCGGGCTTCATCTTATTTGATGTCTTATGCAAATCCTTCGCTCCCCAAGTCCGGGGATTTTCTGACATTTTCCTTTGCTCTCACCTCAAAGTTCCTCGCTCTAAGGAGAGCTAATAAAAGGAGCCCAATTCACAGAGTCCTGCAGGGTTTTTAACCAGCCTGCTGGGCTGGGAGGGGGCATGGCCCTGACTTACCGAAGCCCCTTTGCAATAGCAAGGAGCAGGGATGGGCTCAGAGCCATGGCTGGGATCTCTAACGCCGCCGCTCAGGCGAGGACAGCAGGCTGGGAGGTGGCTGTCCCCGTGCTCGGGAGCTGCGGGCCCGCTGCCAGCGCCCCGCCGTGCCCGCTTTGCTGCCCATTACCACGCCGCTGCCGCCACGGCGGTGCCTGGCTCGCGCCCGTCCTTCCCCTGGCAGATCGATGCGGCCCCGGCGCTTCCTCGGGACGCGATGCAGGCGTGGGTGGGAAGAGGCAGGGCTGGGTCCGGCGTGGCCCTGGGTGGGTGCGGAGCTGGGCTGGTGGCTCAGCTTGCATCGGCACACGCAGCCAAGTCAGCCCACTCCAGGCACTAAACTGCACTTAGCCTCTGCCCAGCCTCTCTTAAGCGGCCTTAATTTGATAAACCGTTCCTGCATTTAACAGGAAGGTGACTCGGTTAGGGTTGCATTCCCACTAAGAGGCATCTCTGTGGGGCTCAGTGCTCCCCCATCACTGCTTCGTGGCTGGCCCTGTCCCAGGGGGTGCCGGGGCACCCGCACCAGGGCTGCTCGTGGGGTGCTCGATGCGCCCTGAGCCAGCCCAGCCTCTTCCCCGCGCACGCCTTGTGCAGCGTGTACGTGGCCGGATCAGTGTCTGCAGCGTGAAAGGGCAGAAATCAATGCTAATGTCCCTGACAATTAGCTAATGTCTTAATTATCGAACTCCGCTTGATTAGCAGTGGAGCGCGTGTCTCCAAAGCTGCTTCACCGCTGGCATTGAAGTGAGCGGGACGTGGCCCGAGGCGGCAGGGTGCTGCTACTGGCACCGGCACCGGGCTCCTGCGGCTCAGCCCCGCTGCTCACGGGCACCTGAGGGGGAGGAGGGAGCCTCGAGACGTGGGAATTTACAGCAAGTTATTTTTGAGATGCAGCTCATACGACCGGTGGTGTGGGGGACAGGCGTGGGACATCACTAAAGGGACCCCGGGCTTCATCCTGCGGGCAGTGGGGACACAGGGCTGCAAGGAGACCAGGCAGGCCTGGCCAGGAAGCAGGCTGTGGCCCTGGACGGGTCTGCCAAGAATATTTGCATTGGTCTGTCTCTTCCTTTGCTTTAAGGTTTTTATAGAAAAAGGGGAAGGAAAAAAAAATAATTAGCAAGCTGGAAGTTCTCCAGCTTTTGTGATACAAACCCTAAATCAAAAAAATAAAAGAGGGGTAGTCAGATGCTTCTTATCAAATCTCCATTCTTTTGGATCAAGGATAAGTGATTAGGAAGTTATTTCCAGCTCTAGTAGTGAGGTCAAGGGGGTCACTTGCTACCAAAGAGCTTTGCTGTTCCCTGCGTCCGCATGTCCTGATTTGTACGTCCATCCTGGTTTCACTTAACCCACAACCAACATAACTAATAAATATGGTAACGATGGTGCGGGATAGCCACCCCTGGTGCCTTCCCATCCCACCTGGCCTGTCCCACTTCTGTCAGCAGCGATGCTCACGTGCGCAGCACCTACCCCACCCCGGTGTGCACGCCTCCACCCGCGGTCTCACCACCAGGCTGCACGCAGGCGGCTGTCCCGGCACCCCGGCGAGCCCCTCTGCTTCATTCACAAGTGCCAGGGATCCAGCTGAGCCCGCGTCATCAACACGCACCCTTAAGGGTTTAAAAATAGAAGAGGTGGGGAAAAAAAAATAAAATAATACGTGTTTAATCACGGTGATTCATGCACCACAGCCCCTGTTCGGCAAAGCGTGGGGCTGGCGAGGGTTTGGTGGCTCCTGCTACAGGGAATAAAAGCACCGTGGCTATGGGGTCCCCAAAACCTTGTCCCATCTCAGAGCTAGCCTGCTGCTGGGGGCTTCTCCTAGGTTTTAACTTGCAGCAGAGCCTGAGGATGGAGCACAAAGCTGCCAGGCGGGCAGGGTAAGCCCCGGATCTGGCCGTTTGAAGTCTGCAGCCTTTGCTGGGCTCCAGAGATAAGCCCGGGAGCCCTCCCTGCATCCATCCCCGGCTCAGGAGTGGGCAGCGGCTCTCCCCGCCCTGGCCCAGTTCCATATCTTTACGCCCAGCATTTACATCGGCTAATGAAGAACAAGTCAGTTCTGATGTTCCTGCGCTGACTTTGAACTCGGCTCTGTTTGAAGCGGGTTTTCAGGCAGCCAGCCCTCGCGGCACGAGGCAGGAAGCCTCTCCCTGCCCCAGCCTGGCCAGCTGGGAGCCACGCGCCTCGCGGCTCCAGCGAGCAAAAGGCAGATTTGGGCTCTTACCCCAGGCTGCTGCTCCCGTGTTTAAGATGCTCAGCACCAATGCTACCACCAGAAGGGTCTCAGCTCACGATAAATGCTGGTTGGCCTCAAGACACCGATGCGGTCAGCCCAGGCAGCTGCAGGGTAGATGAGAAGCTTGTGCAGCCACCCCAGATGACCTACACATCCTCATGGTGCATCCCCCAGATGCTCCATGCCCCGTGTCACTGGGGGGCGGAGGAATTGTCCCCACCTAGCCCCTCACTCCTGGCCAGCAGGACCAAGATGAGGTCCTCACAATGCATCCCCTACACGGTGCCGTTGCAGGGCAGGGCCCGTCCCTGAGGAGCGCGGCGGGGCGAGAGAATGAAGAAGCCGGCCGGGCGGCAGCAGCATGGGGCGGCAGGACCTGCGGCGCGCTGACGGGCCCCCGCCGATGCTCCCGTGGCCACTGGCCCTGCTGGCCCTGAGCGCATGCTGTGGGGCGGGCGGCGCGGTGCCCGAGCAGCATGCCACCGGCGCCGCGTCCCCTTCGTCCCCATCCTCATCCTCCCCCAGCCGGGCACCCCTGGACTGGCTCCTCACCGACCGGGGTCCCTTCTACCGAGCCCAGGAGTACGTGGACTTCACGGAGCGCTACCGGCAGGGTTTCACCACCAGGTACAGGATCTACAGGTGAGAGGCAGCGCCAAGGGCGGTGGGGTCGTGGGGAGGGGGTTTGATCCCCGTGAGGGCTCCAGGCTCTGGGTCTCCCCCCAGCAAGGGAGCAGCCGGTCCCCACCCTACGCACATTTGGCTGCAGAGGCTGGTGGGGTCTTTTCAGCCCATCCCCACCATGTGCTGGGCTGGCAAGGATGCAGCCCCAGGCAGGTGTTTCCCCAACCCAGCAGCAGTTTGCAGTGCAGGGTGAGATGCAAGCACACAGCTAGAACGCTATAGGAGCAGGGCTGATGCTGGGGGGTCCTCGCAAAGCCCCCTGCAGCCCAGGAGGTGTTTGTTGGACCAGAGCAAGCCCTGCTGCACCCTACCTGGAGACCTGACGTCAGTGCAGGGACGGCTGCGTTGTTATGAAGCCTGGCACCCCCTGGGAGCTCATTTCCCCCTCTCCCCTTCCCTGCACGCTGCCATCCTCCGGGGATGCTGCTGGTGACGGAGGTGGGACAGGAAGGAGCACCCGCTGGGACAGCAGCCGGCTTGCACCGAGGAGGAGGAAGACAACCTGTAGGCAGCTTCACTTTTCCCATAGGATGGGACCAAGGGGGACCTGGTGCAATGCTGGTGGCCTCCATCCCTGCATATCCCACTGCACCCGGGAGAGGGAGCATCACCCCTCTCACCCCAGCATCATGCTTTTTGAGCCCAAAAGTCACCATGGGAGGCAGGCCGGTGCCTGCCGAGTCCCTCAGCTGCTTCGTGCCCATCTTCCTTCCCTCCTCCTCCTTCTCCTCTTTTCTCTCCCAATCAGCTCTAATTAAACTGTTGGAGAGACACCGCCTGGTTTTAATTAGAGCAAAACGCTGAAGATCAGGCTGAAGCTGGCCGCTGGGTGTTGACAGGGCTGTTGGTTGAGGCAGCAGCAGGCTGGCACAGCCCGCGGTGCTGGGGGCTCCCAGTTGGCACAGAGATGTCACCCAGTGCCAGCCCATCCTGCCCTGCTCCTTCCCCACTGCCATCCCACCACACTTCGGGTCTGCTCGAGGCACACGGTCAACCCCCGCCCCTACAAGAGCCCGCTGGTGGAGGGGAAAGGCCAGATCCTGCCCTGCTCTGAGCAACCCAAGCTTTCAGTGGGGTCCAGCACCAGTGTCCCACATCCTGCTGTCACCATGCCCGCCACCCCCAGCATCCTCACCCCATCCACTGCCTCGTCCCGGTACCTCCAGCTTCACAGAGAGCACTGCCCATTATCCAGAGACACCAGACCTTGGATTTCCACCCAGCAGAGGTGACACCAATGTCATGTGCATGGCTCCGATGCCTGCCATCAATGGCTCGGGGTGGGATGGAGCCTTGCACCTGGGCACCCCATTCCCCACCCACCTCTGTGGCTCTCACCACTGCTCTCCTCACCTTTGTCCCGCAGGGAGTTCGCCCGCTGGAAGGTGAACAACCTGGCCCTGGAGAGGAAGGACTTCTTCAGCTTGCCGCTGCCCCTCGCCCCCGAATTCATCCGCAACATCCGCCTGCTGGGGCGCAGGCCCAGCCTGCAGCAGGTCACCGACAGCATCATCAAGAAGTACGGCACACACTTCTTGCTCGCCGCCACGCTGGGAGGTGAGCTGGGAGGGGAGCTGCCCGCTCCAGCAGCCGCCCCCGAGCACAGGGAAGGGGAACGGGAGGGCAGTGAGCACTGGTGGGGCCTGGGGGAGAAATGTTGACACAAAGGGGAGCCCGGCAGCCCCCCAGAGCATGGCGTGTCCCCGCAGGAGAGGAGTCGCTGACCATTTTTGTGGACAAGCGCAAGCTGAGCCGCAGGGCAGAGCCCGCGGGGGCCGGGAACAGCTCGGCGGTGTCGCTGGAGACGCTGCACCAGCTGGCAGCCTCCTACTTCATCGACCGGGAGAGCACGCTGCGCCGGCTGCACCACATCCAGATCGCCACCGCCGCCATCAAGGTGGGCGAGGGCGCGAGGGAGGGGACAGCGGGCAGGGGGATGGCGGCGAGGTGGGGGCAGAGCAAAGTTTGGCCCACCCGTGTTATTTATGGGAAATCGGGCACGCTAATGAAGGCGCGTTTTTCAGCGGGGCTGCCGGCTGTCGACAAGGCAATTAGCAGGCAATTATTTCTCCTCTCCGAGCTGCTGCCGCAGCGCCTTGCGAGCTGAGGCACGGCCACGGGCTGTCTGCAGCCCCCTCCGTGCATGGTGCCGTGTGGCAGCACGCAGCCCTGGCCCCCTGCCCTGCCCCTTAGCCCCCACGGGTCCCACCTAGGTGACAGAGACGCGGACGGGGCCGCTCGGCTGCAGCAACTACGACAACCTGGATTCGGTGAGCTCGGTGCTGGTGCAGAGCCCGGAGAACAAGGTGCAGCTGCAAGGTAGGGCCCGTGCCGCGGGGACAGCGCGAGTGCCACCGAGGGGTGCTGGCGGGCAGGCAGGGAGGCGTGCAGGGTGCTGGATCAGGCTGCTGCTTTAAGAAAAAAAAAAAAAACACTAAAAATAAATCAAAGCTGGCCAGGAAGGGGCCACTGCTCCTCTGCCAAGAGGAGCCGCGATCGATGGAGAGCCCAGACAGGCGGCTCCACTCTGAATGGATGTGGGCACCCAGGAGGGACACGGGTTGGGATGGGGTCCAGGCTGGGTGTGCCGGGTGCCCTGACCCCCCCAGGGGCTCCCTCCTGCCCGCAGGGCTGCAGACGGTGCTCCCCCCGCACCTCCGGGAGCGTTTCGTGGCGGCTGCCCTGAGCTACATCGCCTGCGGCTCGGCCGGGGAGCTGCTGTGCCGCCGGAGCGACTGCCGCTGCCAGTGCCAGCCTGCCTTCCCCCACTGCAACTGCCCCGAGGCCGACGTGCAGGCGCTGGAAGGCAGCCTGGCCCAGCTCCATCGCGCCTGGGAGAGCCACCACGGCCAGTTCGAGGAGTCAGGTGAGGCTGGGGGAAAGCTCCCCGGGTGCTGGGACCCAGACCCCAAAGCAACTCCGTGCCTGAAGCCCTCCGGCCAGCCCTGATCCTGTAGCAGTGGTGGGTGGCAAACGCATTTGGGGAGCACCCGTGGGTGCTCAGGATGGGTGGGGGGTGCTGCAGGGGCACCAGAGGGTCCACGTTTAGCATGTAGGATGGGTCTTGCCATGAAGAACAAGGAGCCTGCGGGCATTTTTTAATGGGAAGTGACAGCCTCTGGTGACACCAAGGACAGGGTCTGGTCACACCAGCCCCCCGAGAGCCATCCCGGGGTGCTGCAGGGCAGTGAGGGCAGCGCTGCGTGGTGGGCCACCACTGTCCCAGTAACCCTCAGAGCTTGGGGAAGGGAGCACATGGAAGGAAAAGACCTTCCCTCACACCTCGTGGAGACACATCCCCACCAACATTTAAGCGGGAAGGGGGGGGATCCCTGAAGGAAGGACCCCGGCTGGAGGGAGGTTGGCTCCTGCTTTACCTTTGCTTTCTTCTCTCGCTGCTCACCCCCCCGGGCTTGCTGACTCAGTCTCTTCTCACAGAGGAGTTCCAGGCCCTGGTGAAGAGGCTCCCAGGGGACCGTTTCCTGAACAGGACGGCCATCTCCCACTTCTGGGCCATGGACCTGGACGTCCAGCACCGCTACCAGCAGCTGGGCACCAGCCTGAAGCTGCTCGCCAGGAAAACCCACCGCATCATCCGCAGGCTCTTCAACCTCAGCAAACGCTGCCACCGGCAGCCTCGCTTCAAACTGCCCAAGGAGAGGTAGGCTGCCATGGTCCCCGTCCCCCGAGGAGACACGGCAGAGCTCCGAGTGGGGCTCAGCCCCATGGCTGGGACCAGAGGGGCTCCCACCTTGCTGGGGGGAAGTCTTGGGGTGGGTGGGCAGCAGAGGCAGCTTCGCCACCTGGGGACATGGTCCTCAGAGGTTGGGTTCAAGGTGCAAAACCAGGCTTGGTTGAGTTGTGTTGCCCCCAAAAAGTGAACAGAGGGCGGGTGGCCCTTCAGAGCCCCCCTAAGCACCTGTCCTCCCCGTCCCTTCTCCTCTAGGTCGCTTCCTTACTGGTGGAGCCGCGCGCAGTCGCTCCTCTACTGCAGCGAGACCACCGTGCCCGGGACCTTCCTGGAGGAAAGCCACAGCTGCACGTGCCCCTCGGAGCAGCCCTCCTGCCAGGGGTCCATCCCGTGTGCCTTGGGCGAGGGGACAGCCTGCGCCAGCTGCGCCGAGGACAACACCACCCGCTGCGGGGCGTGCAACCAGGGCTACGTGCTGGCCCAGGGCTCGTGCCGCCCCGAGGTGGCTGACTCGCTGGAGCACTACCTGGGGCTGGAGACAGACCTGCAGGACTTGGAGCTCAAGTACCTCCTGCAGAAGCGGGACAGCCGCATCGAGGTGCACTCCATCTTCATCAGCAACGACATGCGCCTGGGCAGCTGGTTCGACCCCTCCTGGAGGAAGCGCATGCTCCTGACCCTGAAGAGCAACAAGTACAAACCCGGGCTGGTGCACGTCATGCTGGCCCTGTCCCTGCAGATCTGCCTCACCAAGAACAGCACGCTGGAGCCCGTCATGGCCATCTATGTCAACCCCTTTGGGGGGAGCCACTCGGAGAGCTGGTTCGTGCCCGTCAACGAGGGCAGCTTCCCAGACTGGGAAAGGACTAACGTGGATGCCTCTGCCCAGTGCCAAAACTGGACGCTCACCTTGGGCAACAAGTGGAAGACCTTCTTTGAGACGGTCCACGTCTACCTGCGGAGCCGCATCAAGTCTCTGGACGACAGCTCCAACGAGACGATCTACTACGAGCCCCTGGAGATGGCAGACCCCTCCAAGAACCTGGGGTACATGAAAATCAACAGCCTGCAGGTCTTCGGCTACAGCCTGCCCTTTGAGCCGGACGCCATACGCGACCTGATCCTGCAGCTGGACTACCCCTACACGCAGGGCTCCCAGGACTCGGCCATGCTGCAGCTGGTGGAGATCAGGGACCGGGTGAACAGGCTGTCGCCCCCCGGCAAAACCCGCCTCGACCTCTTCACCTGCCTGCTGCGCCACCGGCTCAAGCTGGCCAACAATGAGGTGGCCAGGATCCAGTCCTCCCTGCGGGCCTTCAGCGCCAAGCTGCCCAACGCGGTGGAGCAGGAGACGGGCAAGCTGTGCAGCTAACGGCCAGGGCTGCTCAGACGGCGGAGCGACAGGGACGGGAGAGAGGAAAAACACCCCCGACAGATTAAATCAAGGCCTTACCTTAGTGCCAACCGCGTGCTTCCACGGTACACCCAGCCACTGGCTGAAGGGATGCAGGGCTCGAGCGGAGGAAGGCAGCAGGACCTAGGGCGCAGGATGACTCTGGTGGGGACATTGCTTCTGCTCGAGCACGCCACGCTGGTGGCCAAGGGGATGTGCTGCTGGCTGGGGGACACAGCTCCGATGGAGGCAGCTGCTGGCCCCACCACAGCGAACCCCTCAAGACCCCAACCTGGTGCACGCCATTGGTTCCTCCAGCGACAATCTCTGCGGTGCCTCAGCTTCATAGGCTTTTTAAAATGTCTTTCTGCTGATGCTCTCACATCCCAACCTTCCTACGGCTGTGTCCTTGCACGTGGCATGGGGGGGACCAAGATGTGACGGGCAGACCCGAGGCACCACCACCCCGCACATGGGCAGGGACCTGGCGTCTGCCCCATGGGCACTGCCATTGTGGACACCGGGAGAGACCTCTGGGCCGCTTTTCTTTACAGCAAAACAAGAGCAAGAGAAGGAAAGAGAAAGAAAAAAAATGTTTTATTTATGTATTTATTTATTTGGTTGGTTTGGGAGGGAGTTTTTTAAGCCTATTTATTTGGGGAGGGTTATTTCTCGTCGGTGGCTCCAGCCAAGGGACATCTTAGTAAAATGTATCTGTTTAATATATTTTTTAAAAAAATGCCTTTTTTTGAGCAAAAGAGTAACCAAAACAACTGAGGAAAAAAAAAAAAAAAAAAAGAACACTTACTGTCATCTCTGGCCCTGGCTCCTCCATTGCCATGCTGCAGGGGGGTGGTGAGGAGACCCCCGTGCTGTGTCCCCCACATTTCTCTGTGCCCCCAGGGCAGAGGTTGGGAGCTCAGCCCATGCTGGCCGGCCCTCTGCCTCCCACCAAGGGCTTGGTTAGCTGCCAGGGCTGTGCCAGGGGCTCTGAGGTGGCCCATTATGACCGTCGGATGCGCTCCCTGTGGCACGTAGCACCTCCTCGGGCATGGTAGATGTGGCCCTTAGGAGCCTCTCATAGTGCCCCGGAGATGTGGTGTGGAAGGAGACGGGCACTGACTGACCTCAGCCGCCCTTTCTGGGCACTCAGCCACGTAGATGATGGTCAGAGCTGTGCCGTGGTGCCCTTCCCTGGGCTATGGGGGGAGGTTGCTCCATACCTGCAGTGTCCTCGTTGCCCTCCTCGTTCATTGTCCCTTAGAAGGGGCAAAAAACAGGTGCAGCCCATCCTGAATGCCCCCAAAGCTGCCTCAGCTCCCCATCAGCTAAACCCAGCGCAGGCAGCAAGGGCAGCACTGCATCCCCCATCACAGGGTCTTCAAAAGACATCACCTCCAGCCCCATGGAGGTAAGACAGGAGTGGGAAAGTCCCCTTCCTACCCTGCTTCCTACCCCAAGGCTGAAGAAGAGCAGCAGCCCCACTGCTCAAGGCAATCTTCACGACTCTGCCAAATCCTCCCTGGCTGCCAAAACTTGTCTGTGTGACTGCTGGAAGAGCCACGGCAACCCGGATTCATCTCTCCTGCTGCTCCCCCTCTCCTCCATCCTTGGGCGATACAGATGAAGAGATAAGCAGGAGGAAAATAAAAGCGGAGTAGATAAACTATATTCCCTGTCTGATCCATCAATCCATCAGGCAGCCTATTGTGTTTACAGCATCCCTCAAGCTGTCACCTGGACTTCTGCTCTCTGTACAGCTGCCATCCTTTGCCCGTGTCTCCTGGTCCTAAAAAGAGAAAAGTCAGGCAATGAAACACACAGGGAGGACAGGGTGGGTCACAGCCATCATCTCGGTGAGGGTCAGGGTGGGACATCTGCCCCAACGGGGAGGGAGAGGCAGCCCTGGGTGTGCTAGGGAGGGGCAGGACGGGTCACAGCCGAGCAGGAAAGCAGTGACCTGGGGGATGCAGTGGTGGCAGCACGCCCTGCCCAAGCAGGTGGCACCAGGGAACATGCTTGGAGTGCGGGGAAAAAACAGACCGCCCCTGGAGCAGCCACCCTCCCTCGCCACCCTCCTCGTAACGTGGGCTGGGTGCGTGGCAGAGATGCCCCTGAGCACACGAGGACTCTCCACGTACACACCCAACCAGCAAAGCAGACCACGGGAGGCAGTCCCTACAAACCCAAGGGCACAAATTGGGCAGCCTAAGGCCTTTCTGCCTCCAGCTGCTCAGCCAACACCACTCTGCTGTTTGCAGGGCTCGGAGCTGCGCCGTGCCTCAGTTTCCCTGCCCACACAAACACGCCGTGCTCCAGCACCCAGGGGTGTGCCCACACAGCCCAGCAGCACCCGCATAGCCAAGAGGCGAGACGAAGCCTTGCCGCTTCTTTCTCAGCCTTGTCTGTTATTTCCTCATCTCCTGACAAGCTCAGAAGTGCAACCGAGGTGGCAAATTAGCACCAGAGACTCGTTAATTGGCAGGCAGGAGCCTTCCCCTGCTGTTTGGGTTGTCATCAGCTGCTTCAGCACATTTTCCCTCTCTCCTTCAGTCTATTTTCTCCCCTTTGCAGTGGTTTTCCTCCCCGATCCCTCACTTTGAAAGCCACCAGCCCTGCACCTTCCACGAGCTCTTGGCTCTGTTCCTGCATCACAGAGCCACTGCAACGCACCCACGTTGTTTTTCCAAACTAGTTTGCCTGTTTTGCTGATTTAACAGCCCAAAATTACAGCGTATAAACCATGGGGAACACGATAAATCCCCAGCGGCTGCTGGGAGGGGAGAGGTGCCTGGAGCTGACCTGCTCCTGGGCTGCATCCTGACCCCATCCCACAGGGGGTCCCCTCTCTCCCAAGAGGTGGCAGCGTTGGGAGCGGTGCTCTCAGGAAGGCTCCTGGGGGAACAGACGCAGTGATTACCCAAATTAGTTTCTAATAGCTTTTATCTCCTAATTTCTACTTTGTCAAGTGCTAAAATCCATTAATAACCAAGAGACCATGTGGAAAAACATTTAACATCCCAGCTGCCAAGAGCTCCCACCTCTGTCACACTCCAGCAAGGTTGAGGGAGAAAGGAAAAAAAATAAATAAAAATAAATTCAATTTTCCTCCCAGCACGTCAGTGGAGCGAGAGGGGAACCGTGCACACAGAGCTGGGGATCCCACACCCCGTGCCACCAGTGCTGTGGTCCCCTGGCTGCAGGGAGGTGTCCCCAAGGGTGACGTCCCCCCGAAAGTGACTGTTAGTTGCTGGGGGTAAGGTCACGAAGAGAAATACCCCCAGACACACACAGTCCATAAAACTACAGTCTGTTTCCCCTCTAATTGGTAATAAATGTAAATGTTTAGTTATGCCCGGCTTGGGAGCTATGAAAAACACATCTGGCTGGCTGGCGCCTCTGCCTGCCATCTGCGGTGCACAGGGAAGGGGAGCACACACGCGTGTGTGTGTGTGTGTGTGTGTGTGCACCTGAGTGTGTGCAGGAGCTGCAGGAGGAAAATGTTGGCTGGGTGGCCCCTCCACCAGGCCCACACCATCCCCTCGCCCAGCAGCAGCTCCAGCCCCACGGACACCGCTGTCACCGCTGCTGTCCCTGTCCCTGCGGGGCCCACACCTCACCGTGCCCACAGGGAGCCCCTGGAGCCCCCTTTCCTCCTCCTCCTCGCTCTTCCTCCGGCAGCGCCGCCTCTTCCTTTGAAGCAGGTTTTTCTCGGAGCTGCTTTTTCTGGACCGTCCCAGAAGAGTCCGCACGCTCATCCCTCCCCTCGCCTTGATCAAGGCTGAAGCCTGACATCCGAGCGCGCTGATCAAAGCCGTGTCTCTGGGTGAGATTTGCTGGCAAGGAACAGCAACAGTTGGTGCCGAGCTGGTCCGGGAACACCACCGCGGATGCTGGTGGGGGAAAAAAATAAATAAAAAAAAAGAGAGAGAGAGAAACCACTGCACCGATGGTGGGAGGCACAAAGCACCACATAGCACTTGGAGCAGTGAGACAAAGGGGTTGCTGCTGCTACTTTGAGGTCCCCAAGCGTGGGCCAGCAGCCAAAGCACCTCCCCGGCTGCTCACACCCGCTGTTGGGTTTGGGTCTTCATCCCCCAGGAAGGCTGGAGGCGGGAGGCAAGGCCAGCGGTGACGTCCGCACCATGCTCCTGGCAGCCCGCGAGCCGCCGCGGCAGCTGGCTTTGAGCACTTTTCATCTAATTCAATGAAAATGAGCTGTTCGAGTGAATGAAGATAATTTAATAATGAATAGCTCCAACTTATCGGAGAGGCTCTCCGTTCCTGCCTGACAGTCGCTGCCTCTAAGTGCAATTTAATAAGGGAATCACCATCAGTCAGCCCCGTGGCTGGAAATCAGCACTTTGCTGCTCGGGGGAAGCGCTCCGCACCTCCCTAAAAGCTGGGGCTGCTTCTTGAGTAGCCTAAAACCCAGTGACTTGTAAAAAGGAAGAGAAAAAGAGCAGGGGAAAAAATAAAATAAAATAAAATGGCAGATCAGCACGTCTTCAGAGGCAAAACGTAATTAAAAATAAAAGCCAGCTTGAGGAACGCCGTAAGTCATCCCATGCAGCAGTGAGGGCTGCAGGAGGAGGAGATGCTGCCTGAACTGGCAGGGGGCAGAGCGGAGGGGTCCCGAGGGGTCCCCAGGGGTCCCCAGTACGTAGCAGGTCAGTGCAGGAGGTTCTAGGGAGAGCCACTGCTCGCTGCCAGCTGCTGCCCCACTTGCCACCATTCCCAGCAGGACCGGGGACGTGCCAGCTGGTGAGGACCCTCAGCATGCACAGGGGTCGTGCCAGCCCCGGGTGGGACACTAACAGTCCTCAGCACCCCAAAGTCCTTCTGTTCCAGCAGAAGGTGGTGGTAAAACAGCCGACATGTGAGCCACCAGCGGCACGTTGCTCCCCCGAGGCAGGGATCCGCATCTCACCAAGCACCAGCCCCGGCAGTGCGGGGCCTCATCCTGCTCAGTGCTGCAGGCGCAGGTGTCAGCGTGGGGAATGCCAGCCCGGCGGATTCCTGCAGACACCTGCCAGCAGCGGGCGCTTAATTATTAATTGCGTTTCCAGTAGCAATTGTTGCTCGCGCCAGCGGAGTTGGACGAGACATCAGAAGCAATTAGCAAGCCCTCCGCGCCGCTACGCCGCCGCCTGCTCAGCGCCCTGCTCACGTCCTCCTCGGGCTGCCAAGGGGGGAAGGAGGAGCCCAGCCTCATCCACGGGTTGTCCCCTCCTGCGGCCACAGCACCAAAGTTGGGCAGGATCAGCCCCCGGTCCAGGTTTAATTGCCCATGGCTCCAGCACCCCTGAGCTGCTCCACGAGCAGAGCCACCACGGGGCCCAGAGCAGGCTGCAGTCCAGGTGCTCGACCAAATTAATTTTTATCATAACCAAAGTGACCGGTCAGTGGTCTCCAACCAGGCTTTTCCTCGTTATTGAGACGGTTTCATAGCGAGAGCAATTTGGGGAGCTTATTTTCCACTTCATTGAGTGTCGTGTTGCCGCAAATGAATATATTCCTTGGTTGGTGTGATGGAAAATACAGCTGTAAACGCTTTCTGCTTCATTTGGGCAAAGAGCTCCAGATAGGACTAAATATAAAGAGAATTTAAATGCCGTACTTCATTAAAAAAGTTGTTTCCCATTCTCTTTCTTCCTGAAAATACAGGGCTGCTGGTGGAGAGCGCAGAAAGGTTTAAATTTACATCAGTGTCGTGCTGATGGAGCCGATCGCCGCCCGCCCCTGACTGATGGCAGACGCCTGTCCCTGGAGGCTCGGGGAGGGAGCCCGAAGGCAGGGGACAGAGGAGGGGATGGGATGAGATGCCCAATTCCCACCTGGTTGGTTAGGGACCCTTACCTGCTGCAGAGCCACCAGGGCCAAAGAGAAGACAAAATGCCCCTCGCCTTGGTGGCAGCTGGGATCGTGTCCACACGCAGGCCGTAACTCCCAGACTGCACAGGAGCAAGGCTCAGCCCTGCAAGCCCACCGCTGCTGCCGGGAGAAGCCAAACCTCACCTCTGGGAGGCAGGGCACACCGCCTTGGACTGCCACGGTCTGCTGGGACCACCCTTCCCACACATGTCCCACCCCGAGCAGCACGAGGTGTGAGCAGGCAGCGCCCTGCTGTCCTTCAGGGGATGCAAAGGGCCACTGCAAGCCCTACGGGCAGCACCGAGCTCACCTGACTCATAAAATAGCCACCTCTTGAAATTATGATGAATTTAAAAATCACAGACCCCCTTCCCCTCCCCAGATTTAAGCAGAAGTGCTAGGAGTGAGCCGCGTACAACCTATAAGCCTTGTATAATTGACTGAAGTTAATTGAGCTTTACATTTGAGGGGAGGATCCAGGGCTTTCACAGGGGACAAAGTGACAACCACGACGCTCTCTCTTACCCCCAGCACAGGGCTCTGGCCAACCAGCTGCTCTCACAGACCTGCACCCATGGGTAAGAACGAGCCACAACGATCTCCTTTCCCTTCCCTTTGTCCTCCTCTGAGCACGAAGCTTCCACCACTCGTTTGCCAGAAGCACCCAAGGTGCTCCACAAAGCTGGGGACAACAGGTGCCAGAAGCTCTCCAGGTCCCACCTCCAGCCCCGTGCCTTCTCCCTTGCCTTGCACGTGTGAACAGCAACCGCCTGGAAACCGGATCAAGGGTGAC